CCACCAAAGAAAAAAATATCCAATTACCTGTGGGTGCACACTTCTCACAAGACAATCACTCCCTCTCTGATTTCTCAGTCCTAATCCTCAAAAGGAACTTAGAAAACACCTTTTCTGGTGAGCCTATGAACTTCACTTTACAAATCTACTGGATACAAAAAATCATGGACTTAATATAGACATTGGACACATTACCACCTGCCTGACATATGATTCACCAGGTACCTGCCTGAACTTACCATTTCTACATCCCCCCCACCCCGCCTGTCCTTCCTCCTTTTCTACCTATTGATGTCCTAAATTCTACCTATTTACTTTTTCATGGACTGCCTCTTTGATACCTTGGAGAACCCATTACTACAGCAGAGTCTCCCATGCTTACCTTTTGCATTCCTTCACCCATTATTTCCTCCTTTAACCCCCCCCCCACTTCTCTACCCACTGTTTTCCAAAATTCCACCTATTTACATTTTCACTGACCTCCTGTCACACTTTTAGCTCCTTTCCTACCTTGGAGACCTCAGAACCACAGCAGAGTCTCCCAGTGCCTGAAGAAGGGTGCTTGTGCCTGAAAGCTTGCAAAGAACTTTTTCCAACTACTCAGTTGGCCTAATAAAAGATATTACATTTACCCAAAGAATCTTGCCTGCCTATGCCCTTAGACCAACATGGCTACAATCAACATCCCTGTAACATGGAAGATGTTTTTCTAAACATCCAGTACTCTACAGTTGGATGCCTGAAATAACATTTTTAGCTGTTGCAAGAAAACTGGAATCCTATCCATTATTTATCCTAGACTTAATTTATATTCTTTTAGATCAGTGATTCCCAACTGTAGCACCCTGGGGATCCTTTGGAGGATAAGCAGAGGATCAGGTTTGTCTCTGCCTGGCTAATCCCCCCATCCCTCTTGTCCTGTCTCCCTGCAAGTTAGTAAGCACTGTAACATATAAATAAGTTTTTGAAATTAGGTGCCACTCAATTCACAAAGCTATAGAGGCATTCCTTGGGTCCAATAAGGGGTGCCTTGAGTCTGAAAAAGTTGAGAAACACTTCTAGATCATTGTTTGTATGTATTAAACCATTCATTTTAAGAATTCATAAACTCTTACATAGATAATATGCTGAAAAACAAGGAACAGTTACTGTTACTGCAAGACAAAAGGTATATACACCACAATTTCCATCCTTTTTGTCTTCTTCCTCTCTACTGCCTTAGGTGCACTTGCTGTTATTCAAAACTATTTGTAGAACTCTGTATTTTGAAGTAGTGTAAAGAACTATTAGTTTACGTATATAAGGACTGGTTTTCTTTTTGTTGATAGATACATAGGGATGTTTTCCTGTTGAAACCATAGTTTCTACCATACTCTTTTCTAATTTATTTTTTACTGTGAGTTTCTGCTCACATAAAAATGTTAAAATATTTTTGCAAGAAAATAAAAAAACTTGAAGTAGAAAGTGTTTCAGTTGTTGGCAGTTCTCAAATAAAATGACTTCTGGTTTTAAGTTTGTAAGACATACACTAAAATAATTTTTATAGGGGTGCACCGATAGAGATTTTTGGGGCAGATGCCAATAGTTAAGGAGCAATATTGGCTGATATGATCCGATTTCTGATACAGCTCCCTCTAGCTGGTAAGTCTGGTGTGATGGAAGGAGAGGGGCAGATCAAGACCCCTGCAGTGAGGGAGGGAGGGAGTAAGGCAGGGGCTGGGGCAAGCACTACCTAGTTGTGGCGAACGGGAGGGCAACTGAGCAGGGCTAGTCTGGGCAGAGTTGGTTGTGGGGGGGAGACTGCTCTCACTGCCATGCACTGCTCATCTGCCAGCTCTGGCCACTACTCCTGCTGCTTGTCCAGGAGGGCATGGGGTGGGCTGGGGCTGAGGCTGTTTCCAGTGGAGCCTGGGCTGGGCACAGGGGGTAGCATTACTGGGAGGAGACTACGGGGGGGGGTTGTAGCCATCCCAAAATTCACTGTAGCACCTCCCCCATGCCCAGCCTGGCCCAGGCTCTGCCAGGACCAGCCCCAGCCCCAGCCCCGTTCTCCTGTGCAGATCCAGAGGCACCCCCCCCCATGCCCTCCCGGACAAGTGGAAGGAGCAGTAGCCAGAGCCAGTGGACAAACTGTGCATGGCAGTGGGAGCCATCTCCCCCTCCCTGAGCCACCTGGAAAAGCCCTGGTCTGTTGCCTGCCTGCCCATCTTGCCTGGTCAGCACTTGCCCCAGCCCCTGCCTCACTCCCTCCCTTACCGTGGGGACCTTGATCTCCCCCCCTACCCATGCCCCTTCCCTTCCTCCTCCCCTTCTACCACACCAGACTTACCAGCTGGCAGCTCTCCAAGCTGCTGGCTGTGTCTTCACTGCCTACTTGCTGCGCTGTGTCTGTGTGCATGCACACGCATTTACTGGCCCAATTATCAGCCACTTAAGGCCAATTTCTGATAGACAATTTTCTTTATATGGGTGCTGATCCGATATCAGACTGGTATATCAGTGCACCTCTAATTTTTAGGTATTTATTATTTTGACCAAAAGTATAGTCCACTTTTACTCAAATACAAAATGACCCTGAATATAAGATGACCCCCCCACCAAGAATTAGATTCTACAAATGGAAAACGTATAAATTTATTATAATTTTCCATGTATGAAATCTAATTATTGGAGGATCATCTTAAATTTGTCCCCCTGAGCTACTGCAGATGGTGGGGGAGAGATGCTGGTGGCAGTAATGGGGCAAGCAGTGTGGAGGTAGCAAAATAAGGAAACAGCTTGCCCCGTGCCACCTGTCCCCTCTCTTGCCCTCTATTGTGCTTGGCCCCCTGCAGCCCCAAATTGCCCCAATCCCCCTTCCCACTTGTTCCCCCTTCCACACAACTTCTGCTCCAGCCATAGACTCATTTCCCCACCCCCACTTCCTTTCATCTTCCCCAGTCAAAATTTCTTCTCTCCCCACCTTCCCCTCTACCCACCCCTTACCTTTGCTCTGTGCCAGTAGGGTCTGTCCCCGTTGCAGCCTGGGGCATGTAGCAGGGCTCCAGCTTGGCCCCATAGCAGCAGCACAGAGCCAGCACTGATAAGGAGGAGTGTGGCAGAAGGGAACAAGTGGTGTGGTGGGCAGACTGGGGGCTGCAGTTGAGGAATGGCAAGACATGGAAAAGCAGGGGGGTGGGGGCAGGTGGCAGCTGCAGCTCTAGCTCCTAGCTGCCTCATGCTTGATTGTAACGTGAAGTCGTTTTTTATTCCATGTTAAACGAAGAGAAGAAAATCTCCTCTTCTAAGTAAATACGGTATTTTCCACGAGGAAAAAGAAATTATTTGATCCAAAATGTGTGTGAATCTATCTATATCTATGAATAATAAAATAATACACTATACATATATAATAAAAAAGTGTTTTTATATCCCTTCATGTAACCTAGATGAGTTAACGTTTTACAATAACAGGGGACAATCCTCACTGGACAGGCAAAAACACAGAGCATTAGCAGATAATTTATTTTCGGGTGAAATTCATAATGCTAGTTAACAGCTATAAAGCCCTCAATGACCTGCATCCCACTGATAAGCCATGTCTTTTCACACCTGGGACCGCCAGAGCTGGGTGCCTGCAGGCAGATGCCACTGAGGGGTGGGAGCTGCCATGGAGGGAAGCACCAGCGCCCCCTGTGGCCCAGGGTCTGCTCTGCCCGCCAGCAGCTTGCCCTCCCCTCCCCGCCACCAGAAAGGCAGGTAAGTTGGGTGTGTGCACAGCATGGGGGTTTAATTGGCCCTAAATTGAAGCAGTGTTTTTAAAAACCCACTACTTCAATTGAGGGCCCCCATTTTGTCTATACACACCCTATGTTCCTGGTATAATATTTCATGGAGCTTTTAAAAATGGTGGTAAGGTCTATCCCAGGGTTGGCAACCCCCATCACACATGCCAGAGCATGGCACTTAAAGGCATTTTGCTTTGCATGCATGCCTCAGGGCAGATGGTGAGAAAGGGACCGAGGCTGCACTGCCACAAAAAGGAATGGGCCCCCTGCAGCTCCCATGCCGTCCACCTGGAGGTGTGCATGCACCTGCCACCAGCAGTGAGCTGGGCCAGGGCTCCCCAGACCTTGGTGCAGCAGCTTACAGCCTCCCTGCTGCCTGCCACAACTAGCCCAAGCTCTGGACAGGCCCCACCTGCATACCATGGAGCCTGGGCTGCTTGAAGCAAGCAGTGGCGATGCTGCAAGCCTTGGCCCAGGTTGTTACTGGCAGCAGGTGCGTGCGTGCCTCAGGGAAGGTGGCAAGAAGGGGTCAGGCGTGAACTGCCACAACAAGAATCAGACCCCTTGTGGCTCCTCTGCCATCCACCCCCCGGTATGCCAACGTCTTACAAGTCAAAGTTGGGGTATTTTTGGCATTTTGCCCAAAAATGTTGTCAATCCCTGGTCTCTCCTTATACTCCAACTTCCTAATAATTGCAGGTTTAGAATCTAGTTTCCTTAAACAAACGGGTCATTCTCTGAAGTTAGTGAATCCTGAGCTTTGGATGTTCTCAGGCTTACTTTTATGCTTTATTTTTTCAATATGTAAAGTATACTGACAACTCAAAAAGCAGGTAAAGGCAGTGCTGTCACTATATAAATAATAGGTAATCAAAAAAATTAGTTGCTAATGGATTTTTTTTTGCTACATTGCCTCATTTCTATATCATAGCTGTCCACAGCACAGAACTGTGAATACCAAGAGCTTTGCTACTGCACGGGCTACCAGTGAATGTCTTCTCACAGTTATATGATGCTCCTAGGTCCTATTATCCTGAGGCTCTGATCAAGAATTTTCCATGATGGACATTTGAAAAGTGAAATGCAAGCAATTGGCCCACCTATGGATATCTTTGGTTTACCTAGGTGCACTTTACTTATGTTTCAGTTTTTAAAAAGACAGTCAGATTCAGTAAAACATAAAAAATATGACAGTTAATTTACTCTTACTTTAAAAAAATATTTAGTCCTTACTTTACTGTACACTGAAGTTTCTGAAGCAACACAAAACCATTTCTTGATATTAGATTTTGTACATGAGCACGGGACCTGATTTACATGTTCTTTATGCTCATTCTTTTTCCAGTCTAAGAAGTTGTATCTTCCACAGCACTCCAACTAGAAAAGAAGGCACATATCCAAGATAGCTGTAACAGAGTTAACTTGTGGACCAATAGCAGTATCAATGCAGCAGTGTGGATTGTAGAATGTACAAGCCAATTCAGGACCCTGGTGACAAACATGGGTGGCTAGCCCATACTGAGCTCTGCTTTGCTGCACTTATATTGCTAACTGATACTTAAATGAGCAAGATTTAAGCCACCTCAGGTGTATCTACACATGTTGCAATCACACCTCTAAGTGTAGCATAAAAATGCACTTAGGTTAGGATTATGCAATAGTACCAACTGTTTCTGCAAACTGGATCGGGCAGCCTAAAGAGAGAAGAACTTGTTCTTAAAGAACATTTGTTTTTAAAATCTCTATTACAAATTTATTTGTAAGCCGAGACCCATATGCTGCAATTTACTTGGTGTCATAAAGCTATTTTTAATATCATCAAGAACCATGAAGATCACCTTGCCACAGTACATTCCATTGAAAAGTTGGCACTGTTTTTTAAGGACTTCCTTTAACAAGAGAAACTATTCATATCTCACCATTTGATTTTCCATGCTAATTTGGGGCTGTAAGATACAGCCCACTTAGTAGTTAGCGAAATGAAATACAACAGCTGCTCTCACTTGGCCAGGGACAAAAATTACACATAAACCAATATAAGTGATTGGAAAGATTCAAATCTGTAACGCAATAGAAGTTCCATGTATATAAATTGCTTTCAAAATGGCTGAAATCAGTTTAAGATAAACCTGGATGGTTTTAGTATCAGACTTAACTGATTTAGGTTCATAGGTTCCGTGAACTTCTGACCCATATCCCCTCCAGATCCAAGTTAACTTATAGTCTCTCAGCATCCCAGAGATGCTTTGCACTTCTCCCACAAGCCCCAACAGACAGGGTGGGTGAGCTAACGTAGGCCCAAGCTGTCTGCTCCAGCCAAGCAGGGAGGCATGCTCTAGCACCGCCCCCCCACCCCCACCCCAGTGGCCTGGGCAACTGCAAGCAGGTGGCTTCATTTCCAGAATCAAAAGTGAATGTTTATTCACTTGCTTGTCAGTTCATTCTATGCAGCTTAGACTAATCTGCCAAGATTGAATCAATTCAGCCTTGGGCTTTTTGACTGTTTGTACTTAGCCATAAAGTTGGGAAATATGAGTATGATATAAATGTGTTGGAGAAATAGAAATTGTCTCTTCTTAAGGCACATGATATTTTCATGTAAATACCATGACAGCATGACCTTGCTATGCCCACAGGTCACAATATGCAAGCTTCACTTTTTTTTACTATTCTGGGGCTTGAGTCCATTTCCAAATGCTGTTAATATACCGAGATTTTTATCACTGGCCAAGGCACTTGAGAATTTTTACTGTTATGCTCAGATCCCCTATTGTGTTGCAGTGATCAGGGACTGGATTTTCCCATACAAGGCTACAAGGTAAAGTTTGGGAATATTTTTTTTTTTACATAAACCCAACCAAGTTCATATTCCCCCAAGGTATTGTTATAACAACAGGGAAGCTATCTGCATACCATAATAAATAATTCACTAACTAAAAAATAGTGTTTATTTAGTGCTTTAAGACATGCCTAGTACTAGGATGATATAACATTTCGGTCTCGTATCTTCTCATTTCCTACTTACACTGTGCTGCACATCATTCAGAATATGCCATGCATGTTCTTCTTGACTTAGATTCTTATTCCCATAGTTTGAAATAACTGCATCAATTCTGTCACTCCATATAGCATGGGCCTGTTAAGAAAAAAAGCTTTTATAATACATTACTAGCTTAATTAATACTGACATATTGATTGATTCAAAATAAACTACTGAAAATGCTTTATTCTTAATATAAGAGTAGCGCCCAAGAGATCAGGATGCCATTGTGCCAGGTGCTATACACATTTGGAATAAAAAACAGGCCTACCCTGAAGAGCCTTCAGTAAGGATAAACAATATAAAGGGTGGAGCAGAAACAGATATATAGAGAGGTAACACGACTATACTCTATCCTGAATCACAGAGTAGGCCAGAGGGAGACAGTATTAGGTCACTGATCTCCTGACCCTTAGAACAAGACGCTATCTGGAAGATACGATTCCTTTCCTGAGTGTGTTTTGTTACACTTCTGATTAAAGAAAATGTATGCAAATGACATCTGCCCTATCTTATGTTTTTTGTTGAAACCTAGATGTTGCTGTTTCAAAAGCCTTTGTATTCAGCTGCAAATCCAGTGCTCTCTAACATCCAAATTATTGTCACCCTAACAATCATCGTTATCATTTTCCATTCTATTCTATGTAATCCCACTATTTTTTGTGATTCAGAATTCCTTTGGCCTGGGAGCTGCTGTTACACTGAACTTGCAGTCATCTTCCCATTTTTACTTTCTTCTTTTCTATCACTCTCAGGGATGCAGCTGTTTTCCCATATAAGAAAGAGAACACAGTGACACAGTCGTTGAGCAGAGCAGAATGCCTAAAAGAAAAATATAGATTAGAGTATTCCCCTCTTCAAACCATGGAAGTATTGGCAGCTAGCAGTGAGCTCCTGGCTGGGCGGGGAAGCTGTTAGTTGCTCCACCAGTGGATGGGGCAGAGGGCTGGGACCTGCCCCACCCTTACATCTCTTTCCAAGGCCCATGGCTCAATCACCCAATTGAAGCACTGGGCTGTGACCTCCGCCTGACTGGGACAGTTCCCAGCCCCTGCTTTGCGATTGCTGGAGGAGAAGGATCTCCTAGCTCTGGCCCTATGATTGAAGAGTGGCAGCTGGGTGCTTGCTACTTGCATTTGCAGGTAGCAAATTTACTCGCGATTAGAGCAATTACTGTACAGTAAGCATCTGCAATTGTAGACATGGATGCTTACTGTGCACTTACTAGCTCTACTGAGCAGTAACATCTTGTGTAGTTGCGCCCACCGAAGTGGAAGCAAACATACCTAGACTGTCTTTGACAAATGTTTATCTAACCTGTAAATTCCTCAGCTGAAGAGAATTTGACAGGCACCTAAAATGCTATCTTCCAGTTCTTAGCTACCCTTATAGCTATTAAGGTTTCCTTTCATATATATTTTTACTCTCTTTTTGCTACAAATTAAGCCTGTTTCTTTTTGCCCTAAATCCAATGGACAAAGAGAATAATTGATCAATGCTCTGTCATAAAAACTGTTTACATATTGGATTTTTTTGTCCTCTTAATCTTTTTTTAGAGACAAAAACATGACCAGCTCCTTCAACCTTTATTCTTTGGTTGCCTAACCTCTCATCATCATTGTTGCTTTCTTCTGGACTCTCTCCAATCTTTCTTTAAATGTGGTACCCAAAAATGGGGTATGGATTGTAACCATGTTGGTCTAAGGACATAGGCAGACAAGGTTCTTTTGGTAAATCTGATATCTTTTATTAGACAAACTCAAATAGTTGGAAAAATTCTTCTTTGCAAGCTTTTGGATACAAATACCCTTTGTCAGGCTGAGGAAGCAACTGCAGGTGGTGTGTGCTCTTCCTGGATGGAATGAATAGTAAAGAAGCCAAAGGTTGGTATGCATGCAAGAAAGCCAGTCAGTGGGGAGTCAGTGGGTGAGATACAGGTCAGGTGGGGGCTGTTTCAAAACTGTTATCTATCTTTCTGGAGGAGTGTTCTTGTCAAAAGGCTTTCATTCAACAAGTACACTCCTCCAGAGAGAGAGATCACACTTTTGAAAGAGCCACCCAGATACCAAGTGCTGCATTACAGAAGAAACGCCCCCATGAATCGCCCACCACTAGTTATGACATCACCCCTCCCTGGAACCTAAACGGTAAGTCCTCAAACAACTGTGACTCATTTTCTTATATAATAAAGGGCTTAGTCCATCTGTCTGTCTGTCCGTAACACTCTTGGAGCACGGTTTGGTTAGTGAAACAACCAATCGGAGTGTGGAGTGCCACCATGATGGCGGGTATGGAGCAGTGCTGCTGGCCTTGCCTCCTGCTCTGCCCCTGCCATCATGGCAGCACTCTGCCACCTCCAAGGACCATGCTGGGGAGGATTGAGGATAGTGCTGCTGGAGGCAGCAGTGGCGTGGGGTGGTGGTGCTCTGTCCCAAACCCCTCAGTCATTCTTGATGGGCAATTTGCTGCTATTAGAAGACCCAATTCTTAAAGAAAACTTCCCAGAACCACCCATCCTAGCATTCAAACAATCACCAAACCTCACTAACCTCATCACCAGAAGCAAACTTCCTACAGCCCAAAACACACCAAATGATCCAGACCGTACCATGACAAGAAATGTAAAACCTGCCAACATATCTCCACCACCCCCACAATTACTACACCCAACAGAACCATCAGCATTCCTAGATCTTACAGCTGCACGCCCAGGAATGTAAAATATCTCATCCAGTACAGCAAATGTCCTGATGTAGGACATGTAGGAGAGATCAATACATGAGAAAAATATGTAGGAGAGACCAGACAACAACTGCATACCAGAATGAACACACACAGGAAATCTATCAAAGACAAGAATACCCAGTTAACTGTGGGGGCACATTTCTCACAATAAAATCACTCTCTTCAATCTCTCAGTTCTAATCCTCAAAGGAAATGTACAAAACACCTCACACAGACAAGCCTACAAACTTCACTTCATCAACCTACTGGATACAAAAAAACATGGACTAACTATATACATTGGATTTATGACACAACCTGCCTAACATCAGACTCCCCAGGTACCTCTCCACTATTTACCAGCTACATTCAACCCCCTTCCACCCACCCCCAACTTGTCTCTCACCCATTGACTCCTCAATTTACATCTTCACTGACTGGCTTTCTTGCATGCATACTAGCCTCTGGCTGCTTTACTATTCACTCCATCCAAGAAAAGCACAGACCAACTGCAGATGCTTTCTCAGGCTGACGAAGGGTATTTGTACCTGAAAGCTTGCAACAGAAGAATTTTTCCAACCATTTGACTTGGTCTCATAAAAGATACCAGATTTACCAAAATAACCGTGTGTACCCAAAACTGGACACAATAATCCAGCTGAGGACTCAAGGACACTGATTACAGAGGTATAGTTACTTCCCATGTCTTATATACGATGATCCTATTAATACTTGTCAGAATGAGATTTGTCCTTTTTTGCATCATATTGTTGACTTATATTCCAGTCCACTATATATGTTCCATATACTCTTCTTTCCTTCAGTACTGCTGCCCAGAGTGCTCTTCCCTATTTTCTATTAATTTATTTCGTTTTTCCATTTGAAGAGTGGCAAATTGTATTTGTCTTTATTACATTTCATCTTGTTGATTTTTTTTAATCGTTATTTAGATTATATTGAACTCTTATTCTGATCTTCAAATACTTGAAACTCTCCTGGCCCATTCTACCCTATTAAATGAAGTAATTGACTTCCATCCAATCCCTTTTACAAGCAGCTGTTAATAAATGTTGCAGTACCTGTATCCATGTCTATGTCTTGCCCCCAAGCCAGTGTGCGAGTCTTACTAATGAATACAGACTAATTTACACAACTCTTTAACAGGAGGTATAGGTTCTATGGAGATAGTGGAAGAGAAGATAGGACATTAATTGGCATTAACTTCTCTCTACAACTTGTGAATTTCTCCTGGTTCCACTTGCCATATGGTTCCATATGCCAGTATGAGCATATTCAAGATCTGGACAAGGTCATTGCAGAGCTCCCATCTATTGGCAGGGAGCACCCCATAGGGATTGGCTCTAAACACTTAAAATATGATTATAAAATTAATAATGGTCCAATATATAGAAAATGTACATACCTCTTTTTTGAAGTTGTATATTAGCACTGGTATTGCAACTTGGACACTGAAGACCACAACTGTAAGACCCATATACTAAAAAGTTAAATGAAAATTATATACTGTATCAGTAAAATTTATTACACATGGAATGTTGCAAGACACAGTTCTATCCATAAACTGAACTCTGTTCATGCATGATTATTATTCAGGGACATTCCAATAATAGCAAGAAATCCGCATACATAAAAGCAATCGGAAAACTCAGTACATCACTATCAATGCTGCTATCAGTTAGGATTAGGCATCAAGTGGGACACAAGTCACGGATGCTTGATTTAAAGACGAAGCCACAATAATGAATGGGTGCTAATGGTAGGTACTAATTATGTAGCATTAAGGTATTATTATGCTACTCATCTTCAAAGAATTGTAAAAACCCTTACCATGAAATTTGGGGTACACAGAAGTCAGTTAGTATTAGTATAATAATACTTGATTGCATAACTGTAGGTGTAGACCTGCAAAGTGCCTAAACATGACATAGGTACAATTTAGTTACCTAAACTCCAAAGAGAAATCTATATTGGCCTTATTCCATGAGCCTTAAAATACACTGGGCATCAAAGTTCATACAGTGCCTCCATTTTGACTGTAAATTCCCATATGCTCCTAGACTTGCCCTTCTGGCCACACTCATAAGTGATCCACTTTAAGCAGCTAAACACCTAACTCCCACCTAAGCTCTGCTGCAATACAGACTCATGCTGGGGAGGTACCAAACCCAACAGCAAAGAGCTAAAAAGAGAGAGTCACTTTTTCTCAAAATGCACAGTTGGTGGCAGTGGTGATGCCAGCATATTATGTGATAAATAGTGGTTAGAGCACTAACTTAGGAAATGGGATACCTGGAGTATAGAACCCCTTCAGCCTCCAAGGATTCAAATGCCATATCTTCTAGTCTTAGAAGAGGGTCCTAAACACTAGGCTATAAAATAAGTTGTATTGCGGGCACCTTCCATCCTTCCTGGTGAAACTTGGTCACTACGGAAAAACGAATGCAAGTATAATACGGACAGAAGGGAAGTAAGCCAATGGGACCACAACTTCCTATCTCAGTGATGCAAGCACTTAGATGGGGAGGTGGGGGACACCTAGGTTCTGGTTCCAATTTCCTAGACCACTTATGCATTTTGCGTTAAATAGTCATGGTCAATAAGCAGAAATAATCCTGGGTTATTTCTTCCACAGTTTTTTTTTAAGTGAAGCTAGCAGTTTAATAAACTAGATTTGTGTTAGAGGGAAATCATAGGAAAACAGAACTAGAAGGGGCCTCAGAGATCATTTAGTCCAAGCCCCTCCTCATAGCAGGATCCTCCTTGTTTAAATCACCCCAGACAAACAGTTGTCTGATCTGAACTTGAAAACTTCCAGTGAGGATGAATCCACAAAATGTCTAACTCAGCAGCCAGCAACCTTTTTGGGTTGTGGGCTAGAGTGACCCCGTTCAGGTCAAAGGTGGGTGGGTATGGAGGTAAAGCTATCAAAGTATTAAAAACAGCTGAGGAATGCAAAAAGAATTCTACCTGTATCTATCTTGAGTCAGGTACAGGGCAAAGGATCTTCCCTGAACCTTGCATCATTGTGTTGAGATCTTTTCAGTCTGATTTCTCATTTCATATCAGTAATATCAGTGTGCACTTCCTTTGCTTAAGTTCAAAGCTTTAGAGAAAGAGGCCGCAATTAATTCCAGCAGCAATAAGAATTGTGCCTCCACTCAGCCACGGACACATGTAGTTTGGGTTAGTGACAATTTCAATTACCCTTTATCTTCCTACACTTCAAGGAAAACAATAAGATAAGCATTAATCACACCGCTCAGCCTATTCCTGCAAACAGAAGTAAAATTTTCTGCTTGTGCTGCTGAAGTGATACACCATTGAGTTCTTCATCCACATTTGTTAGGAAGCACTGCCTAAGGGAGTACAGACCCCTTTTAGCAACATAGCTTGCCCAACAGGCAAACTACTGCCCAAAGTAATGGCTTAACATGAAATCTCTGAGCACCCTACTGAGATCCTGTGTGAGGGAGATAAGTCATTTTTTCAAGAATAGTTCCAGAAAAGCAAAGATGACAACATTCAGTAGAACTGACTATTTAGAACTCAATTCAGGTTTAAATTAAAAAGGGCTACTAAACCATTAACAAAATTATCCTGGTGGCAAAACTCACAAGCAAACTGCTTCTGTCTGGTTTTGTCATTGCTGGACATTGATTACTTCCAATAAATAATTAATCTGTCGACATTAAAAAACTGCGAAGACTTATAGCATACTGCAGTTTCACAAGTTATTATATATGGTTCTCTGCAAGAATCAACTTTTGGATCATGAAGCACTAGAGGATTTGTATAAAATTGTGTCAGGGTTTAGAAGCACTTTTTTTGGAAACTGCAAATATTAACAGATAACATTTCTAAAGTTCCACTATTTTCATATCTATAAGCCTAATGCGCACTAGTATTGTGACTAGCTAAAGGCATTTTGCTACAGCTCATTATCATCTTATAATATATTTTCTTATGCAACACACAGTTTCTCATATCATGGACAGTCATCTTATATTCAGTTTCCTTATCTGTTTCTGCAGACCTTTACACATGACCCAGATAATAGTTAGAGTAAAGCATAATATTAGGATGATCTTTTTTAGTACATTCATTGACTCTGCTTTGCGACCTAAATTGTCAAAGCCAGAGGCATTTCACTAATCTCTACTCACCAGAACTAGTAAACCTCTGATTTCTTTGAAACTTCCAATGCATCCCAAGAATGAAATAAAAATAATGATGGATCCAGTGCCAAGCAACATGTAACAAAGATAAGATATCAAGTGGTTCTCACCTGTGAAAGCTGAAACAAAATGCATTCATAAAATAGCATTTCTTGTTCTTGGTATCTTCTACTTAGAAAGGTTTTGCCCTAAGAATATATTTTTAAAAATTCATTAAACTAATTTCTAGAAAAGTTTTGTTGAATGATATAAACAGTGGGCATGACTACACAAGAAATATTAATGTGCGTTAGCCTAATTTAATACGCATTATGGGCTCATGTCTACACATGTGTACTCTTAATGCACATGGAAGATGGCGAAATTAGGCTAATCACTCTTAAATTTGATATCTTAAGTGATATCATACTTAATCTGATACCTTTAGTGCTAAGTCCCTGCACATGCAGACACCTGCCAAAAATCCCTTAATGTGCGTTAGCTTAATGAGCACTAAATTTAGTTACGCTTAAATGCATATGTAGATGTGCCCAGTAAAGTGACAAAATGAACTTATTACCACCAGTTTCTATGCCTTAAGAAACACAGATACACTTGTTCTTCTATATTACACTAACTACCATTACGTTAGCAACCATAAGACTGCAGTACTAAATTAGATGTAAACAAGAACATGTCTAAGGGTACAGATAGATAACACATTTACACTAATGTCAAAAAATTAGTGAAGAGACTTGATATATGTATATGAAGTTATAGATATATAGATATAAAGATTCCATTCCTAGAAAATGGCAAAATGTATAGGAGGAACTTGATACCTATTACTGAGGTATGGTCAAAAGGGAATAGGAGATGATCTTGGCTTTTAACTCCAGATGGACATCATGCAAAGTTCAGCACTATTCATTGATTTCTGGTTTTAGATCCATAATTATATAGAAATTTCACCTTGAATTAAATATTACCAACCCTCTGGTGAATTAAAAACATGACGTTTTAAACAGCAATCTATGCTTTTTTCCAGGAAGGCCTACAGTTACAGAGTTGATTAAAACCTAACAGTAGATATATTTTTAAATGATCACAAATATTATTGATACAGTAACAGAACCTAAGTAATAGGCTAGGGACAGACATTCAAAAAGCCTGAGCCTGACTTGATTCAATCTTTGCAGGTTAGTCTAACCTGGCAAGGCTAAATCACTTTATAACTGAACAGACATCCCGGACATGCAGGCAGAGGTCTGCAGTGGCTCAGTCTAGAAGCTGGGGGGCACTAAAGTAGCCCTTCCTTCCCTTCCATAGCACTGAGCTGAGGGTGGGCATGGCCAGGCCCCGACAGGATGCTCTGATTAGCTCAGCAGGGAATTGATAACAGTATTTATCACCTCTAACACACTGGTTGTCACCCGATTAGGAAAACAACAGAGGGACATTAACAGCTACCTGTTGATTCTGCTTGTTGATTCTACTTGTTGACTCACCAGGACTGTAGCCAGCATGTGGTCTGCTAGCTAATACACAGACATCTCTCGGCAAGGCAGAGGGGAGGAGGGAATTCCTGCTTAGCGGGGAGGGGAGAAGCAGACCATAGTCTCTGCTGGAGCTCCAGCGAGGGAGCAGAGGGAAGGGGCCAGCCCTGCTGTGGAGCAGAAAGCCCCACCCAGCCAAGAGAGCATGCCAGGGTGCTGGGGGAGTCTGGTTTATCTTAAACCAGGAAGGGGTCTGGGACAGACATTGCATAAGCTGGTTTGACCCAAATCAGTTAAGTCTGGCACTACATTCAACCAGTTTTATCTCAAACTAGTTTCTGCCATTTTCAAATGGTTTATGTGCACTGAACATCTGTTCTGTTACAGGTTTAAATCAGTTTTTGATCACTTAAATGGTTTATGTGTAATGTCTGTCCCTAGCTGTAGAGGCAAGGATTGTTTGGTGGCTAAGCAGTAAACTGAACCTCCAAATTCCACCAGAGTGGAGGTGCTGTGTGATCTTAATCAAGTCACTTACAACTAGGACCTCAAAGGAATTAGCTGACTAACTTATACTTCAACAGGACCTGAACACCTAACTCCCTTTGTGGATCTGGGCCTTAATCTCAAGATGACACCCTACCCTTTCTTCTTCCTGACTTCAGACTAGTGCACATAACTACTCCTCCCTAAAACATTCCTTGAAGTTTTGGAATTGATCAGATGTGGCCTTCAAAAGTTGTCCTGTTACAGAAAAGGTGCATGCCATCAAGCTGGCAAGAAGGGCTCACTCTAGGCAGCTAACAAAGGTTTTCAGTAGACAAAAAGGAAAGCACACACACATCTTGTTAGCAAAAAACACTTATTTGAGAAAACAGAAGCAGAGCATTAGGTTAATACAAAATATTTTTGGACATTACATTAATGGTGCTTTACACTGAGAGATAAACAATATTACTTATTATATAACATGAGCTACATGGATCTACAGTTCAAACAAAGTGGAATATTCAAAAATGAGATTCACCAAGCCAACTAAATGTACAACTTGCAATTATGATCACTTTAAAATTCCAAATAAAAACTTATTGGAAACAAAAATAAAATCCTCAAGATCAACAAGAGAAAATGTTCCTGAGAGACAGCAAAGAAAAAAGAATAATTCAGAAATTTCTAAAGGTACAGGGGATAAGACAGTTCTGAAGACGATAATTCTACAGCATGTCATAGGGCAGTGCAAACATATACATATACACATTCATAGGATCATAGGAAAGTAGGGTTGAAAGGCATTTCACAAAGTCATCTAGTCCAGCCTCTACACAAACACTGCAGTTTATGAGGCAGATGCTAGGGTGATGGTATGTTATATACCTTACATCAGGGGTCAGCAACCTATGGTCCATGGGCCAGATCTAGCTCGAGAAGCAATTGGATCTAGCCCACTAGGGTCTGATCCAGTCTGTGTTTTAAGAACAGTTGGCTGATCCTCTGCTTCTGTCTAATGCAATTTGCATTTTAGTAACTGCTGGCCGATCCCAGCTCTGGCTCCGTTTCCAACGACAATGCTGTCCTGTGGGGCTGGCTGCTCTCCTTTCCCTCCATTGTCCCTGTCAAATTAGCCACTCCAAATCCTTGCTTGCCATAACTGATGGTGGTGATGAGGCACAGAGGCTGCACTGAGTGGGGGAGAGCAGCCCACCAAACAGAGCACAGTCAGCTGGATTGGGAGACTGTCTGCCCATGGTGACTGCAACGTCAAAAGGGGTGGCCTGCCCATAGTAAAAGGCTGCTGACCTTAAATAATTAGACTTCCGCTGCTTTAGGCCAGAAACAGCTGAATAGCCACAACTTGCACTAGATTTTTTTGCCATGTGACATGTCATGTGTCATGTACGTTGAGGCAAAGGGTATGTCTCCATTGATCAAAGGCATAACAGTTTTGGCATCCTGGGCAGAGCAGAGGGGGGAGGTGGAGGTTGTGTGGAGCAGGATCAGGGTATTTTGCCGAGGGAGTTCCAAGCAAGTCTTACCTCACCTGTAAGGAGTTACTGCACTCCAGCCGCAGCAGCCGACATGCCAGGGGCTCAGGGCAGCTGCTGTAGTGCAGGTTCCCCAGGGGCCACCACTCTGGCATCCCCTCTAAATCTGCTCTGGGGGTGGGCATCTCCTCACTGACTTCTAGTTATACTACTGATACTGACTGCCAACCAAAGTTGTATTTGTGTTCAGGTCATCTGATCATTTACAGTAACAATCACTACACACATAAAACAGGGCAAGTGTATTCTGAGGAATTGTCAGGGAAAAAAGAAACATATCACTAATTTGTATTGACATGAATATACTTATTTCTGTGACCACATTAAAAAGTAAATTGCCTATAGTAATCGGGAAGACGTGTTTATATATAGTAACTGCATTTCAATAATCATATTTGTGTAAAGGGGGAAAACATAATTAACAGCAAAGTTAATAATGGCATTTTAATCTAACACTGCCACCCTGTGACAAAGCCCTGTAATTATATTTCTGTAGTTAGCTGGTATATCTTTTGGAAACCATGAAAACCAGAAAAAGTACCCATACTCACATAAAGCAGTGAATAAGTTGTTTCTGTCAAATAAAAGCCACAGAGCGAATGTGAAAACCATGAGACCAAAAATCTGAAAATAATAACAATTATTGCTTTAAATTAAACACTTGCTAAATAACATATTCCAAGCAGTTTAATTTAAAATTAATCAAGACACTTACCACAGAAATTCCATTAAATATGGTTAAAAAGTATTTCATGACTATTATTTTATCTCTTGTTTTCATTCTTCCTTTTGATGAATTTTAAAGGCTTCTGAAAATATAATTAAGATTATTATTAATTCAATCAATATAAAGTTGTTCATCATTTCAGTGAAACCAACTGCTGCTCAGATGATATTTTCCCTGACAACTGCCTGAAACACAAGTTTAAATATTTATCTGCTGCTTTAAACTACAAAGTACAAGCATCAGAAAAGATGTTCAGGGAGCTGTCAAGTCTTGTCTGTCTCACAGGTATGATCCGTCATATCACGTCTTTTTCACCTTCTTCTATCACAAAGACCCTTGGGAAAAGAGGTAGGACAATGTGTACACAAAAGGCATTAGAGATCTGCCTTTTGTATGCTTACAGCCAGTTTCTTAGTTATTTTTGTGTCTAATTTCTGTCAAGTTAATTTGAAATCTGTAGGAGTTAGGTATCTACCTGTTGCATGAGTCATAAATCTGAATCACAGAGACTGATTTGACTTTTATTGATGTTAGCCAAAACACACTCATAATCTCAGTGAGTTCTGGATTACAACTGCAGATAAACCAAAACAATGGACCAAATCAATGGGACTAAACATATGTTTAAGGTTAAATGTGTGTGATTGTTATGTAGGTACAGTGCAAAATTTCTATTACAGGACTGCAGGATTTCTAAGAGGTAGTCCACTAATTTCTCTGTTACGTGAGAACATTCCAGCTAATGGAACAATGAAAAGATCGAAGCTTGACAATCATTGCTTTTTTGTTATTGTTTTCTAATGCATTTTTCAAAAGATGTGATTTAAAAAAGGAAGGGATAAGTGCATAAGGATTTATCTTTTTTTCATAACTGCTCTCTATACATGGGCTTTAATGAGACTGCCATCATTAGACATATAATAAAGGAAAAGAAAAAGCAGCAGGATGAGTCAGCTTCTACATTTTCAAGGAATTGTTCCTGCACATAAATCTAGAATTATGAAATCTCCCTTGCATAAAGACAGTCAAAGTAACTGATTAATATGAGTGTCAGTGAACAACTGTTAGTTGGGTTGTCTTATTTCTCTAAATTCTTATTCTTTTCATTATGAACCTTTGCTTGCTAAACGCCAGATGCTCTCTCTTAATTTTTTCAATTTTATATTATAGCATCACATACAGTTTATAAACTGTGTTGGATAACTTTTTTACACTTTTCTTGGAGAAGATTCTGTAACTCAAAGTGGTGTATTGGATATTCACAGTGCATTGCATCTCATCAGAATGTTTTACATCTAAAATGTTTTGAAACATTGCATCTGCAGCATAATCTTAGTACAGTAAAGCAATTCTTATGGATACACAGTACCTAAACAATTTGTACATTAAATGTTTCATCACTAATACAACTTATAAACAGAATATATTATTTATAAAATTACTTGCCAAAAAGGTAAAAGTAGTATTATCCTTATCCCCTTAAAAGCATGTGCTCTAGTTGTCTCAAAAACATACAAAAATCCTTACCAGTTATGAATATTTTACTTCAAACTTTTCAGCACTTTCCTACAATGACAAATCTATTTCTTCACTACATCTGAAATACTTACATACTAATTCTTGTGTTGTCCCTATATTATTTCCTGGTTACAGGAGAGATCTATGTACAAAAGTTTCTTCAAGTGATACGTTTTGTTTACTAAATGTATTATGTAGGCTTTGTGGTCTTCAATCACCATGAACACAATTAACACATTTTCAAAAACAAACATCATGAGCCCGTTTGGCACCAAAAGAAAAGTAAACTGATTTAATTTTTGCCTGGAAAGGGCACTCCTAAAATTGCTGTGAATAGAATTATTGCATATTATCACAGACTTGTAGCACTGGTAGAATAGAAGGATAAACTTACATTAATATATATTTAGGTCAGAAGGAATCATCTTGTCAAGTCTGATTCTGTCAGAGATTTTCACCCATTTATAACTGTACTGAGCTCACTAATTTGTGCTCAGTTGAAGCATGTTTTCCAGAGAAGCATGCAATCTCAATGAAGAAGTGAAGAAAAAAAACCAAAAAGCAGAATAGACCATTTTCCTGGACAGTTTATTCCAATGCTTAAATGATCTTCCTGTTAAAAATGTATGCCTTACCTAAATAAAATTTGTTTGGCTTTAACTTCCAGGTCTTCATTTTTGTTTTGATCTTATCTGACAGGTAAGAGATCTTGCAACCTGATATTTACTCTGCACATGAATTTGCAAATTCTAATCAAGTCATCTTCTAAACTTATTTTGAATAAACAAAACAGATTAAGCTCTTTAACTGTTTCACTGTAGGGCTTTTTCTCCAGCTCTCAAATAGTTTTGATGTCACTTTTTCTTTTTATCTCTAAATGTTCAATCCTCTTTTTTGGTATGTAGCCACCAGAATGACATGTGGTAGTCCAGCACTGGTTCCACTAATGACATGAACAGAGTTAAAAACTTCTGTTTATGCTACCTTAATGCTTCTCTGTTTCTACCCTGTATTGTCTCTCTTTTCTGATCACACTGGGATCTCATGCTCGGTTGGCTGTTTGCTATAATTCATAAGCCCTTTTCAGAGTAACTGCTTTTCATGATAGAGTCCTTGCATTCTCTGGATTTTCAAAGATTTTTGCAATGTAAAAACGGATGGTCTAGAAGACAGAATCATGGACCCCAGGACCTACTGTATGTTAATGCAATTTTTTTTCAAGCCAGATCTCCCACTGGCATAAATCAGCTATGGTTCACTTGGAACCAATGGGTGCCTGTACACGAGCCAGAAGGCTGCTCTGACACACTATAATAAAAGTGCATTGGAGCAGATTCAATTAACTAAAGTCTTGTTTGATTAGCTTTGGATAAAGCGCCCCCGCCGCCATTTGAAGCATGGGGATGCTGATACATGAGGCGCTGCAGGTGCTTTAATTAGAGACTTATGGGCCTGCTCTAATTAAAGCCCACTCCCTGCCCCTCCCAACAGAGCACTTGTAAAAATGCCCAATGGGACTAGTATAATTGAAAAATAGGCCTGGAAATAGTCTGAGATGTCATCTAGTATATCAGACTCAGCGGTACTCAACCTTTTGGCTTCATGGGCCACATGACTGGGGCAGAACCAGTCCCTGAGCTGGACTGAGTCCTTAACACCAAATGGGGCCTTGGGGCCCAGCCCTGCCCCCTCCTGCCCAAGTGAACCAGGAGTCCTGGCACCGCCCCTCCCACTGGCATTGCATCCCAGGGTCTCAGCACGCCCCCCCTCCAGGATTGGGCCCACTACTGCCCCTATGTGGCGGGCACTTTACTTTAAACTCAGTGTACCTCCATGCCGAGTCCAGCACGTGCCCAGAAGAGGCATTACTTTAGCTGGACCTGTCTTGCCCCACCATCTGTCCCAAGGCACATATGCAGCTGCTGCCAGCAACTAGCAGGACTGAACCTCCAACCCTAGCACAGCTGCTTGCAGTTTCATAGCTGCCTGCCGTGAGCAGCCCAGGCTCTGGGAAACCCCTTGCCACCCATACCAGGGAGCCTGGGCTGCTCACGGCAGGCAGCCATGAGCTTGCAAGTGGCTGCAGCCAGGTCTGGAGCTCT